TACACACATATGCATTTTTCATATTAAGTACATATATATATATATATATATATATATATATATATAACCAATTAATTCACAAATTTTCAAACCGGCATGTATCAATTATCATGCTGCCACGTAATTATTAAATCAAATAATCACGTATTAATTTACCTTGGGTAATAACCAGGATCTGGTTATCATATAAGAATATAAGATATCAAACTATTACCAACATGAGCTTTTGATTGTAAGATCAATAATTTTGAACTTTTTTTTTCATCTTTAAAAGTTTAAAATGATGATTGAAAACATTAATGAAAGCCTGACTGATTTATATTGATTGATTTTGCGTCTAGAAAAACTCGAAAAAACAATTTTATATGAATTATTAGTATTTTTAATTGAATGTTATTTATGATAATAAAAACAATATATTGCAGATTTTTTTTAATTTAATGTTGTTTATGTTATTCAATTTCAAATCCATTTCAATCCTACAAACCAAATGGGGCCTAAGAATTTCAATAAAACATGATAGTAGAAGTTCTTACAAAAACCCCATTTTCTATTTTTTATTATTATTAAATGTAACCTTATTTATAGATTAAAATACAAATTTCATATATAAAATAAAATTATTTAAACTAATTCAAATATAATTTATCAATGAGGTCATTAAAATTAAACTTATTAAAACAAAATATAAAAAATTCTATAAAAATTTACAAGAAATAAAAAAATAAAGCAAAAAAATAAATATTCTTAATAATAACTAACTTATATTTTTTTTTAATCAATTTTAACTTAAATGTTTTATAAATTTATTAAAACAAAATAACAGTTAAGAAACAATAAAAAACTATTAACAAAAAAAGAAAAAGAAAAATGCAGACAATAATCTGAATTCTTATTCAAGCACCTGAGTTTTTATAAGAACATTTGACTGGTCAAGAACCTTTATCTGAAGGTGGAAGTTCTTGTAAGAACCCAAGATGGACCTTACGAAGCATATTCACTGTGGATGCTCTAATCATCAATGTTATAATCAAGTTTATCATGATTCAAGTGTGGAAAGAACATTTTTTTTATGAAAAAACAGATGACGCTTCAGACGTATATGAAATAAGGTACACAGGGGTAACAGAGAAGCAAGTTGAAGCATATATTAGAAACGAATATCGGGTGAAGGGTAGGGTCGAGAAAGTCATAGATGTCTCATAGTCTAGTTGTTATCATCCCGCGTCAAAGTCAATGCCTTGGTTGACTTGTACATACGGTTAATATCGGTATCTGATAATTCCCTAATGCTTAATATCTGATTTATTGTTTTATATATATATATATATATATATATATATATCTTTTAATATGATAATTGTTTTTACATAACAAATCGCGTCAATAACAACATATGTTTGCTTCGTTTTTGATTTGGTCATTGAACATTAAAAATTGTACTAAAACCATTATATGTTTTAAAGTTGAATAATCCGTGTAATTTTGACTTAAAAACATGTAAATTGATGAAGTCGTTGATAACGAATTTTCAAATTTGGATGTTTTTTTTTATTATCCTGGATATTCAATCCGGTATGCGAGCCGACTAATCCCAGGACGACCACTTGCTTTGCAGAGAGTTCGGAGTTACCGCATTTGAACCTCCGTGGCTACAAGAGGATTTTTATTCCTCCTTGGATTTGAACCTGTGACCTCCAGGTTATTTAGATCTTTGGAGCCAAACTCAAACCAATCAGACACCACCCTTGTGGTTCAAAATTGGATGGTTTTTCCCCTTTGACCAAGCATAATTGGTTTTCGGTTCGTATACTTGCATAAATGGGTAAGGGTTTAAATCTAGTAGTCGTAGCATGAGATTCACAATTACTTCAGGGATCGTTCTTTTTGTGGGCATTTTAAGACTGTCATCTATTATCATGCTGCTATATACCTGATTTACCTCTTACATGATGTTTTTGGAGATAAAGCAAGACAGTGACAACCTCTAAATTGTTGGTTAACGTAACCTTTTCGGTCAGATTTTGAATGGTTTTTATCGTGGTTTCTAACAAAGTTTAAAACCCAATTGAAAATAGACTCAAAATATATTGCTAATTTATTGGAATACATGGATCGAAAAATATGACCAAATTGTCAAAACACATTCTTACGTATAATTTCAATCAAGAATAACGGTTGGACCATGAAAAATTATTTTTCTATTTTATAAATAAATTAATAATTTATTAAGACTATACATTCGTTAATAAAATATCAAGAGTAAGCTATGATTTTCGTGTTTATGGTTTATTACTTATTACTATTTTCGTCCCTTAAACTAACTTCGTTAGATTTCAACCGTTAACTAGGGATATTTATTTAACCAAAGTGCTTTTGGCCTAACGATATGTGAGAGTTCTTAGCCTTCTAGGAGGTCAAAGGTTCTAACCTCATCAAAGTTGAGGAGAGTGTGTGAATTTATTTGTTCTATTTGTCATATCTATACTATATTATAAAATATTTGACAAAAACTATTAAAAATCATTATTTATGCATAAAGTAATGCTTATTGATGCATATAAAATCACAAGTAAATTGTGCATAAATACAACTTATTAAAGCTTTATTTTGAATTTGTGTAATTAACTATAGATAAACACAATAAATACGGGATAGACATCTCATTTTAAATATAAAAAATCTAAAATATAATTAGGATAATTATTAGTTATAACAAAATACTGAATTATTATCTTTATTAAAATTATATTATTGAACGGTAAATAAAATATTGAATTAAAGAAATTACACAAAAAACCAACACTTGAAATAGTAAATTTGATACTAATATCGACATACATTCTTTTTCTAAATTTTTATGATATATTTAAATTTATATTTTATTCAAAAATAAAAATATTATAGCTTTTTCAAAACCACTAAAAACCGTATTATATTGACATAAATAAATAATAAAATAAAATATTAAAAATAAGATGCATCTCGAATACCCTTCTGGTATAAATATTGTATACTTAAAAAAAAGTTGAGAATATTTAGGGCTTCTTAACATTTTATTTAAATTTCTAATATGAAATTAACATTTTATTTTTATATTTTAAATACATATTATTTTATTACCCCACGTACCCTTCCCCTACGGTTCTCTCCCCGACGACGCGAGGTCCATCTCCGGCAATGGCCAACACCGGTGGCTTTAAGCTGCCCATTTTCTTCCACCCTACAACAACCCCTCCGGTGAAGCCAAACAACTGTCTCCGGTGATCATGCAACCTCTACCCTACCATCTTCTTCCTCCTCCTCTACCGATCAACTCCTCCGGTTCATCACCCCCAGAATCTTATTTTAAACCCGGTTTTCGAGGGAGATAGATCGAGTCAATAACGGATCCAGGAATTTTTGTGACGGTGTCGGAATTTAAGTAATAGCCACATATCCACATGGTTGACGATTTCCGCTACTTAAATAGTTTCGTTTTATTTATCTGTTTGATACCGAATATTCAAATTAACAGCTATACATAGAGTAAAGAGCCTAAATTAATAACAAAAAATTAACAATATGACATCAAACAACAAACCCTAACCCTAACAACTAATAACTAACGAAAAATTAACAATTATACGTAAACCGATAAACTTTAACACCAATAATTCACGATTAATTATTAATATAAAAACCAAGTTATATAAAAAATTAACAATGAAATTTGGGATAAAAAGTTTTAGGGGGTCAAACCTTGTATTTTTTTTGTGTCAAAACATATATCTATACTATATTATAAAATATTTGAGAAAAACTCTTAAAAACCGTTTTTTATGTATGAAGTATTGTTTGTTGATACATATTACTTAAAATTCAATATTACAAGTAAATTGTGCATAAGTACAACTTATTAAAACTTCATGTTTGAATTCGTGTAACTAACTGTGGATGAACATAATCAAATAAATGATAAACATCTCAATTTAAAATATAAAAAATTTAAAATATAATTAGGATGATTTCCAACAAAATAATTAATTATTATCTTTATAAAAAATTATATTATTAAACCAAATATAAATTAATTCGTTTTTAAATTTCAATTAAATTATAATAAAAATTTGAATCAAAGAAATTACATAAAAACGAAAACTTTTAAATGGTTAATTTAATACTAATATCAATTATTTTTTAAAAAAATTTATGATATCTTCAAATTTATATTTCATTCAAAAATAAAAACATTTTTTCTTTCTGCAAAGCAAGTAGTCGTCTGAGATTAGTTAGCTCGCATAACGGGTTGGATATCCAGGTTAATAAAAAAACTATTTTCTTTCTCTCAGAACCACATAGCATCATAATATTGATAGACCCAAATTATAAAACGAAACATTAAAATCAAGATGTATCTCGCTACATTACGATTTATATAAAATAAAGTAAAGTTTATACATTGCAAAAACTACAGTGATGAGAAAAGCAAAATTTGAAAACCAAAGACGTAAGTAGTAAGAAACCACAAACCACAGGGACGAAAATCGTAGTTAACTCAATATTAATTTATCAAAAATATTGATTATAGAAATATAACAAGCGTGTCAATTCATTCCTTGAAAAAAAACACGAACCAACGATCAATAAATGTCACAAATATGTGTATATTTGCAGAAGATGTTAAAAACATAATAGAAAAATCCCGATAATAATGGATAAATCACACAGGTTGTACGTCATCTGAGCATCAAAAAAGAAATTTAATATGTACCAATTATAATACCACATGAAAACGATGTTCAAGTTACATGTGCTAAGCAAATTAAGCAACAATCTCAACTACGATCAAGAGGTAATTAATTATCTACTACTTGAAGAAGGTGATGCCAAACAACAAAAAGCAACAACAGTAAAATTTTACTCCTTTTGTGGTCATGAATGTTCAAATACAATGACTTCAAACTACCTGCGAAACGGATGATCGCTCTGTGATTAGTCGGCTCATATAACGGATTAGATATTCAGTTTAATCAGGAAAAAAAAAAACAATTAACAGAGTTATAAATTTGTGTAGTATATATCAAGAATACATGAATATAACGGAAAAACTAATCACGAAGAACAAGTAAATTAATATTCCATAATTTCAAAATTTTTAAATATTTACTCATACACTGTTTACTTTTAATTTCTATTTTAATGTAGCTACTTGTATATCTGTATGATACGATATGATGTTTGATTTCATTGTAAACTGATAATAAAAGTTAAACACAAACCCTAAATAATCCAAAGTTAGTAAAATACTCTGCCATACCAGTAAACTCAACGCTTATACTACATTTTGAACATATTTACCAATTAGTTTTATAAAATTCAAACGTACCCCTTTAAAAAGTTACACACGTCCAATAATAAAAGGGAAATTGACCAAAATAACCAATCTTCCCACCAAATTCACTTTTTAGATCTAGAATTTAATCAAATGCCTTAACATTTACAAAAACTCTATTTTCAGATTATATATATATATATATATATATGAGGTTTATTTTGCAAACCACGTTATTTGTACAAAACTTACAAACCTCATTCGACCAATCATAAATTTTTATTTTGTTCATTTTTTTGTAATTATGAGAAGTTGATTAATCATTTTTATTGTGGAGTGTGTTAATCATGAATATTAATTAATATCATCTTCATTATTTTAGTTTTAGAAAAATACATGAAACAGTTTCATTAAATATTATACGAAACAATTTCATAACTATATATGAAACAACTTCTTCAAAAAAAAGTATTATATGAAACAATTTCACAAGATTAAACAATTTCATGAATTTTTTTTATAAAACTAAACAATAAAATCGACGGATGAGGATGAATTTGGTGAGAAGTATCAATTTGTCGATAATAAATTGGTTAAAAAGAATTATACACAAAATTCAAAAACATCGGGTTGAAATTTGATGCGGTGTTCAAAGTCTTGATGGGTCCAAATTGGGAAACTTTCTAAGCAAAACGGCCTGCTGACTAAACCAAGTCAACTCACATCTCCAATTCTCCATGCTAGTACGATACTATTACTATAGTAAGTAATCACGAACAAGTCGTATCCACCAACTCCCATATAAACCCCCTCATCTCCTAACTATATATCATCTTATAATTATCTCCCATCGATTCGATCTCGAAAAAATGTCGAATTCGTCATCTGAAACCTGCATCCAACTCCCAGAACACATGTACCAAAAGGGTGTCAAGCATCTCTGTGAAAACGGGGTCACACAGGTCCCCAAAAAGTACATACTGTCCGAACCCGAAAGACCACATAATCTGGTTGTCGGTAGCTGCATCGACTTGCCGGTTATCGACTTTGCTCAACTTCAAGGCAACGATAGACCTGCAGTCCTTCGCTCGCTCGCTAAAGCTTGCCAGGAGTACGGGTTCTTCCAGGTAGGGTTAAGTTCAATTCGATGCAAATAGTATGGTTAAAATGGCTAAAATCCTTCTGTTTGGATGTATAGACATATTTGACGTCATGTAAAGTTGATTTTATTATAATGATTATATAATTGTTTGATGTTGGTGTGCAGTTGACAAACCATGGGATTACGAATGACGTTGTGGGTAAGATGATCGACGTGAGCAAAAGGTTTTTCGAGCTTCCGTTCGAGGAGAGACAACGGTACATGTCTTCGAATTTGTATGCACCTGTTCGATACGGAACCAGTTTTAACCAGAACAACGATGGAGTCTTCTGTTGGAGAGATTTCTTGAAGCTAAGCTGTTATCCCATGCAGGATTTTGTTTCTCTTTGGCCTTCTTCTCCTGTTGATTTGAGGTAACCCTTCACCTCCTATATATATATATATATATATATAGAGGAGTGATCATATGAAAACCGTCCTCATTTGTGTAAACC